TATACAAGTACCTAAGCTCATCTTTTCCCATCCCTTCTTTTTCTGTTTCTTCATGTCTTCAGACTACAAGACTACCTTGCAATCATGATTGTACATAAATTAATCTGGGAGCCCTTTTTTCCCAAGAAGCAAGATAAATAAGTGATGGAAATCAGAACTACCTATATGGATTAATTTCTTAAAATATATATATATATATACACACACACACACACATATATATATACACACACATACACACACACACATATACATATATACACACATACATACACACACTTCAATTATTCCAATATCCTTAAGCCTCACTGTTTCTTAAGAGAAAGAATCCACTAATAAAGGTTAGCACTGCATTTTAGCTAGCCTGGATGCTAATCAACAAAAATACTATGCCCCATCTTTAACACAGGGTCAAGTAACCCATTTGGAGGATGCCTTCTGTAGGAAGTTGCCTATCAAATATTTTGAAAGAATTTCACATAAAGAGATGCATGGGTGGATACTAAAATAAAAAGTAATACTTCTAAATATATGTGCAGAAGCCATCAACATTTTTGCTCCCTGAAGAGATTCTTGAAATAGTCTCATCTTTGCAGGAGACCCTTGGAGGAATTGCTTACACAACAAAAATGTCTGCATCCCATTCAGACATATGGAAATGGTTTTCTACATGGTGACCCACATGTTTCTTTATAACCAAGCTTAGAGACATCAATTATAGCCTTGGTACAATTGCCAGACAGACCTATTAGCCAATTGGATTACCCACCATTTATGGTAATCCAATTTAACTCTTTATTATGAATTACTGTATAGTTACTCTAACAGTTCGTGAAGACAAGCGACCAAAGTCAGTCAATGAATCCCATGCCAGGGATAGGCAACATGGTACCCAGGAGAACCGATATACCTGCAGATACTTTGGCTTGGCACACTTCCCTGCTGTATCTCACTCCAAATTCTTTTAATAATTATGATCAATGGAAAGCTAGTATGCTATAAGCAAAGTGCTCTAGAATATTCTTTATGAGCAAGAATGCCTTTGGGTTCTATTTTTGGTTTTTTGGTTCTGTTTTGTTTTAGAAAAACGACCACTATGCATGTTTGCAGCCCAGGGCTTTGTTTACAGGTGTGTCCCCTGCCCCCAATAACAAAGGTAAACTGCAATAGTAGAGAACATCCCAGGGAATTAGAAGGTATGATGGAAAGAATCCTCACAGTTCCTTTTGATAACGGAACTCTCTGTAGCTAACTGCATGCACTACAGAAGGCATTTTGTGAAAACCTATTTAAGATAAGTACCTTCTCTTTTAGTGATATCCATAATTTGTTCCTGCTAAGTTTTTCTAGCACAGTATCTGATAGAATCTCTGATTTTTAGGTTTTTGTGTTTGGGAAAATGAGACAACTCTAAGGTCTTCATTTACATAATGTGCGACCAGGAATAATTGGAATTTAATTGGCATATTGTGACTGAAATCAATTTTAAGGATACAAAAATAGAATATCAGATGTATAGTTTCAAGTACCATCAGATTCTATCTCTGAATGCCCCCCACTGAAGACAAGTGGTTTCCCCTAACATTTTGATTTCCCTAACTTCAATTCTGACAACCATGTGGAAGAACATTCCAACATCAGATCCAGGAATAGGGAACCTGATGCCCACCAGATGTTTTAGATATCCCCACTAGCCCAAGTGAGAGCAACCTATAGCAAGAAATTTTGGGAATTGTCATCTAAAACATTTGGGCAACACCAGGCTGCACACTCCTGATCCACCTACAGTAAAATCTTTGAGTAACATGGCTCTAGTCTTCCTCAACCTCGTGCCCTCCAGAGGGATTCCAGCTTTCATAATTTTGGGCCAGTATGGCCAACAGTTTTTTAGAAGCTGTGGAAGAAATCTTCTATCAGTAGGCATTGACAATAAGAAGTTAGAAACCTGTATCTGCCTTTTCAGATTCTTCTCATTTATCCATTTTCCATGCTTGTCCAGTCATCCTCCTCTTCCATTATGCCCTTTGCACTGAGACATTGGCAAAGAGTTTTTTTTAATATGCTTCTTTCTCCCAACATAAAACCACAGAGATTCAATGTCCAGAAAGGATCTCTCTTACACAGAGGTACTGCCAAGCTACATCTACCAATGAGTCACAAATGGGAGTGGCAAGCAACAGAGGAGAAGTATAAGAGAAGAATTCTGCTGAGGTTCCTTTTCTGTACTGAGTTCACATATGTCCTAATCCATTATTTCTTTAACCACGTTTTACTGAACAAATCACAACTTAACCATGGCTTTTTGTCTATTGGTGAAATTCCCATATTGTGCTGCACTGTAAATCAAATAAACCCTATGATAGTTTAATACAAATTGGCTGGGTTTGCACAATATGACAAGCCAAAACCAATTAAACCATATTATAGCACAGTGCAACTTGTGAAGCCATTCAATGCACATAATAATGCTGAAAGTAGTACGTTTCAGATATGTGTTTTGATTGTAGAGCATAATGGATTAGATCCAGATCTGCTGTTGAATTTATGGAAGTGACTCAGCTCTGCTGGACGTTTCAGTTAGGCAAAGGCAGAGACCTAGTTTTTGTCTATTTCCTTCCCTTCTGCCTTTGATGCAGAAGTTCCCCCAGTTGCACAGAGCAGATTTCTAGGCAGCAGAGCAGGCTGAAGGGGAACATAGGGAAGATCTCCTTCCTCTTTCTGCTGGGTTGGGAGGGGAACAGTCCAGTTAATGGTGTTCTTCTCTACATCATTCTAGATCCAATCCAATACTTTGATAGAATGGTGCTAACATATACGTTTAGTGTTATAAAATATTCCAGTTATAAACTATTATGAATGTATCTAGAACATGTATTGAAACAACTATATAAGATGTACGTGATATTGATATCATCAGCCATCTTATTCTCCTGAGTAACTTAGCCAGGAAATTATTGAGAAACTTAGTGTTATGGCAGGAAGAGTCTGTTGTACTGTATGGACATTGACCTTCAGGTCTTATTTTGCCTTTGTTCCTTTTCATCCACATAAACTGCATTGGAAGAGGCCATGCAGAGGTTTCCGCTGAAGTGTCATCAACGTGTCTATACAAAAAGTGTCATTTATCAATCTCTCTCTGTCTCTCCACCTAGTCCCAGGGAGGAAGTGGAAAATTAGATCAGGTATGTGTGTGTGATTGTGGGATAAGTGAAAGTCAACAAGCTGAGGGTTAATCCAGATAAATAGCATTACTGTGAGTGTAGAAATCCACTGCTCTGGATGGAAATGTGGGATTTCTGCCAGACAGGGTAATATTCTCCTGCACTCAGTACTATTCATAAGGTGCAAATCATGGTGGTTACCAGGAATACCTTTTAAAGGCCCTGGTTGGCCAGCTAGGTCCTTGCCTGGGGGAAAAAACAAGAGAGAGATTGCTACAGCCATTCACTGTAATCTGATGATATTGTGCTAATCTACTGTACTACATTCTTCATATTCCTCTTCACTTGAGATGCTGGGAGGCTTCCATTTTCCACTGGTTTGCTCTTCTCTCATAAGCAGCCCATTCTCAGGAAATTTCAAATCTGCTACAGTCAGACATATTGAATTGTATACAGAGCCTTATATTAATATTAATACACATACCCTTTGTTTCAGAATTCTGCAAAGCAGTCTTCCCTGCTTCAGGAAGTCTGTCATTTCAGTTTTAATATGGCAAACCTCCTATGCATTATTTCAGGATGTCAACTCATATTTTACTCTTGGGATCAATTCTCATTAATGCTGTTTAGCATATGCGTAGTACTTCTTGCTTTTTCACTGAACTTTGCATATTTACACAAAGCATTAAGGTGTACAATGTAATTTATGAATAGAGTTAAAGTTTCTGCACTGCATACGTAACCTATTTTGAAAAACAAGTGAGACCCCATTCAAAACATGGAGAAGCGATTATTAGGAATCATAACAATCCATTATTTCAAATGTAGTGCTCCACTTTTCCTTTTTTGAAATGAAATCCAGGGGTGATTCACTCATTCATTTTTAGAAATCAAGAACCAACAGAGATCTGAATGATGAATATAATATTACAAATACTGATGATGCTGGCTGTATCAGCCAAAACAGCCTACGTAAAAATTAAAATAATCTTCTCCAACCTGGTGCTTTCCAGTCTTCTTATCAGCCTTTTTCAATGGCCACAGTCTAGGTTATCCAGTAAGTCTGAGGGGCATCAAATTATAGAAGACTGATTCTAAAATGGCAATTAAATTGGCAAAGCACAATCCCTTCACATAATCTGGTACCCTCCAGAGAGGTTGGACGACAACAATCAGAGAAAGCCACCTTTTATTGTGGTTGCTGTTGACTGGGAAACAAAGTAGAAAAATGAAGCATTAAGATACTATAATCCGCTGGATACTGTTGACAATGTACTAACTTCTTAATCTGTTGGCTGCACTTCACTCTACACTAAGCCTACTTAGAGGGCTACTAAATAAGGAGGGAATTTCAAGGCTCCTCTTAATTTGACATCACCATCTTCAGGAAGCCCAATATTTAATCTCGCTACAGAATGAGCCTAGAATACAACCCAGGTTCTGGAAATCAAATATTTAAACCAGAAAGATCCATGCCCCCCTGCCATTTCGGAAAGAGGAAGTAAGTAGCTTTGAGGCACTCTACATGTCCTCAGAGGCACTCCTATTACCCAGCTCTTTTCAGGGTTCAGCACTGAGCACAGCTCCCTGGGCTAATGCAAGAGAACTTCCCCTTAGCCACAACGGGTCTTGAGAAAGACTGGCCCGTCCCCAATTTCCTATCATCATTAGGCGAGCTATCTGCTGCTGCCTCTTCAGCTATTTCCGTGCTGTGCGTTCACACTGTGACACGCGACTAATTCCTGGTCTTGCCGGCCGATCGCGGTGGGCAGAAACGGCGCAGACAGCCTCCCTACCTCGGAGAAAGTTTGGTGGGAGGGGACCGCGGCGCGCTCTTACCTTGGGCGCAGGTGATGGAGCCGCTCCTCGCCCGAAGCGAAGAGCCGAGACCAGCAAGGCGCGGCGGCGGCGGCGCGGGGTGGAGGTTCCGTCGGAGG